ATGCGTAAAATGTCTGTATATAGTTTTAAGGAAAAAATCTAGTATTTGCAGAATCTGTCTCCAACAGCACAGAAGACCCATACAAATGCATATAATCAGAGGGAAAAAAGGAATCTTATTTCCGTAACATAGGCCACATTTTGGCCTGTTCTTCCATGGAGTCTTATTGCATTTATTAAGTTTGTTAGATAACTATATGTTAGTAGAAACAATTCATGGAGTGGTGAGAAATGCTGAATTGTCAACTAATGCTAGTGATGAAGCAACAGTAATTACCATTATAACAAATATATTTAGAGAGGTACCCCATCAATTGGTTTCCTGGCCTGGAACGTCACAGAGATTAATCTTGCTACCAGTGATATACAATGCAATCCTGATTTAAGAACACATGGCTGTTCTCCAGGAGGTCTGTTTAGCTTCAAAGAAACATGCTAAATTGTTTAGTAGATGGATCAGCCAGACACTTCCCTTGTAATTGGATTGACATCTTACTTTACAAGGGCAGTTTCATTATGAGTAGATCAAATACAGCTACTAGAATTAACCTGAACACTGGCAAACATGCTCCTTTTCAAAGTCATCTTGATATGTTTTCAATACAAGCTGGCTTATTTTTTCCAACCACAATGTTTTTCTGACATTATTGGAAAACAACCAGTTTTATATACTGTGCCAAGTTTTTAATGAGGGAGGCTGTCACTGGCAACACACCTGCAAAGATTTTGAATGTGGAAAAGAAAGACCTGCAAATTAAGGAGACCACTGCTATTGCAACAGCTCCCAATGCTTGATTAGGGCCAAATCCTGCCTATTACCTATTACAAGTTGTGAAAGGAAAGGATTGATCCCTGGCTATAGAACTGATGCTGTTGCACTGCACAGCTCCCCCTAAGAGCTGGGAGATGAGGAATAGAATCCGATGAAACCCTGGCCCATATTACCTTTGGAACAAGCCTTCTCCAGCCCTCATGAAGGCTCTGGAGCATTGCTACATGTTTAATTCAGTTTCTTGTGTATAAAGACACACAGGCCACGTCTACACAAGACTATAAATAAGTATAACTTGTATAAACAAGTACTAAATGACTGCACAGTCACACCGAGGAATGGCTTTTTAATAACACTGACAGTGCAGTAGCTTGTGACTACGCAGTAGTATCACGTCATACTTCCTGCCATGTAACGCTACTATGCAGTAGTCACGGACTGCTGCGCAGTCAGTCTCTCCTGTAGGGAGCTAGATCAAACATGTTAAACATGTGGCTTGCTACATGTTAAAAAGGCACAGAGAGGGAATTATTACTAGTTTTAGTAACCGTAACTTCCACCTTTAAGCACTCGATGGTTTTTAGGTTGTATGTATTGGTGATCTTACAGTGGAGCATGATAAACAGAGCAGTTATTCTTCTGTCTCATTCTTTTGTTCCTACATACAGGGCTACATTGCAGCAGACATGGGCTAGGGAATAGAAGAGACAGAAGGCTGGGCAGCATGCATACAAACATGTACATGTGTGGAATATGCATCCTTTCACCCATTGTCCTCAGTGGGCATGAATGTATATGAACATTTCACTGCGCAGTAATTTAGGTTACTGTACAGTAACAAAAAATTACTGCACAGTACAGGCACATGTCTACATGTGCACACCTGTACTGCGCAGTAACTATAGTGACTTATGCTGATTTGGGTGTAAATTTGCTACCTGCATGATGCCACATGAAGAAGGTTGGCTGCTAACTTCAGTGTGAAGATTTGCCTGTGCATGAAAGTTATAATGGTTCACAAGTTATTCTGTCCACAAAGACATGTCCCGCAAAAGAGATGAAATTTGGTATTAGCTGGAAAATAAAGAATTTTCACCACATCTCCCCTCCCACAGTATGGTTAATAGGAAGGTGTCAGTGATGCAAAAGAAATTCATTTGGAAGCAAAAAATGGGTGTCTGAGGGAATAAAAGAGGACTGAGGGGCTGCCAGTGATAAAGTGTGTGTCTGGCTTGGTCTCAAAGTGTTTATTGCTCCACACACTTTTTGCACCCCAAATGTTTTACCATGGCCCAAAATAACCTTTCTAATAGGAGCAGCTAGTTATGAGCACTGTTGAAGATCTAACCTATTATTTCCAAACTTCATAGTTTGGATCTGACCTATAGGAACAAGAAGCTCTGGTTAGCAGCTCTTCAGTTTACTTTGGATGAACTCCCCCGTTCCTACCATCTCTGTGATCCTTTCCTCCTTTTCTAATGCTTTTGACACTTTTCCAGTCCAACTTATTTTCTCCCCATCAGAAGGGACGATAGAACTTTTAACTGACAAGATCCACATCTCAGTGTTCATAATGCTTCCCATTTTATCATGAGTTTCACAATACTTGTGTGTTCTCCCTCAAGCTTCAGCTCCTGGAGACACTGCATTGCTGGAGAAGGTCAAATTCCATTTAGAACAAAACAGTAAGTTTCTAGTCTTTGTGACTACAGATTAAAGCTTGAAATCTGAACTCTAGAGGCTCAAACTTAGAAGGCCAATAAATAAGGATCCAATATGTATTATTATTATCCCAGTAACATGATTTCTTGTTACCTGACTGCTGAGTTTTGAATGCTTAGGTTTGGTAAATTTGGGAAATAAAGATCTCAGATGAAGGGTTTTTCATTGCTTGCCATATTCAAGACCAGAGCATGTATTAGTTATCTAGTCCTTAAACAAGAGATGCACATATCAGCAGCCATTCCCAACATACTGTATTCAGTCTAGGTAGAAAGAAAGAAATAAAGATGATCTTAAACTCTTACACTGAGGTGCTCCTATACTATTCTAGCCATAGAAAGGGGCTAAATTTGGACCTACAGTACTGGGCTTTTACACTGCCACTAAAGCATAAAGCAGACTTAACATGAATGAAAATCAAGACTAAAATATTACTAGTAGACAGGTTTAAGGGTCTGCTCCTGAACTGTTTAAGTCAGAGATATGCCATTCATTTCAGACCTGGGCCTCAAATGGATAACTTCTTTAGCTGCCCAACCAGCAGCCACAAAAGTGCAATAAAAATGAACACATCATGCTTTTAAGTTTAAAAAAAAAAAAAAGGCTGAAGAATCCCTTTGAAGCTTGAGGGCACAAAGGAGATAACCGAAGCAGAAATGCTGCCATTTGGGCAACAAGAAAAACTTCAAGGCTGAGACCCATCTTTTACAACTGTAGTGACCTCGATGTGAGATAAGGAAAAGATGGATGCGGAGCAGCTGCTAGAAACAAAACTAAGCATGGAAAAACCCCAAGAAGTAAAACAGAGACTGAAAATCATATATAAGGAGAACACAAACAATGCCACGTTGGGTGAGAAATCTTCTGTCTTCCTTCCAGAGCACAGGCGCGCCTGCTTCTCACCTCATTCCAGCTCACCACCATCATCAGCTACAACATCTCAGCTACTCAGTGAACATGGGGTTGGCCACCCCGTGTTAACATTGAGCAACTATTGCTGGTAACGATATCTGGTGTCTGTCTGTCTGCATAGAATGGTTGTTTTGTGTGTATGTATGTCAATCTGTGATGATGTGCATGGTGTTTTCTCTGTGTTTGTATGGATGGTGTGTCAGAACCTCTATGTCTAACTCATGTAATCAATAAACGTGGCATTCTGCCTTATCCCCCTTTATAAAGTCTTGCTCGTGATTTGAGCAATTGGCAATTTGTGTAACATTTTCCAAGTGGCTTACTTGGAAGTCATAAAGCAATTCCAGGTGGATATACTTTACAAGATGTAGTAGTATCACTATAAAGGAGGATAGTGTGATCTTTGACAGGAGGAAACTCTGAGGCTGATGGATTCCCTATCAGAGGTTCACCAGATGTTGAGGGATCAGCTGAGTTCAATTACACAGAAAGTTTTATCATCCAAGCATGCTTGAGCTAGTTTGAAAGGAACATGCTAGGATCATTATTTCTACTTCTTCTCTCCCCAGAAATAATGCTGCAGTACAAAAGGAATAACACTTTCCAGGGGCTCACAAGGTGCTAAATTCTACTTCACCTTTCTGCACCTAACTGTCACTTATGCAGCTGTTACTGTAATTTTTAGCACTCATGCACAGTTGAGATTCCAGGTAGCTAAGCTTGCCCTGTGATTATTTACTGAAGAAGTGCAATAGGTGCACTCTGGTTGCAGAGGTGCCTGGACATAGGATGGCTCATATACATGTATAACGATGTGCAAATTCTGAAACTTCACAGAAAAAATATAACCATGTGCCATGCATGCCTGTGCTGCAGATTGGCCACTCCTGCACTAGACCATGGACTAGATACTGCCTAGAGCATCCTTGAACCTGACCCCCTGGGCAGCCAGGAAGAGAAGATACATGGTGCAAAGTGGAGAGGGCAAGTGAGACTGGGGGTGGCTCAGTGAAACAGATGCAGCTGAGAGAGCATCTTGAGTCCTGGTCATGAATAGAATTGAAACTATCCTAATGCTGTTCATCTATTCTAGCCAATGAATATTACATGTGAGGTCCAGTGGCCTAACATCAAGAGGAGGGCTGCAGAGAGCTCCGGGCAATGCGGAGCCTGTGCCTGTGCCTGGGTGGTTACAAAAGTTTGCTCAGAAGTAGCAAATGTAAGGGTCAAATCACCTGTTGGGGAGGCGTGTTCTAGAGTGTGGATCTACTGCACCCTTAGCAAGTGCTCTAACCACTAGGCTATTGGCCTTGAAGGTGGGATGGTTGCCCTCCTTACTTTTACTTCCAGCAGCTATGTGGACAGTGTGATTCTATTCTATCACAGCTGCAAACAGAAACTAAACTGTTGATGGACACCAAAAATTACAGTTACACGGCTACAAAATTCTGCCTTAGGCATATGAAGGTGAGAGAGTTTTTAGCTCAGGGCATTTCTGCAGAATCACATCTCAGTAGAAGAGCTGAAGGTGGGACTAATTCTGAACACACCGAAGCCTATAGTAAGGTCCACATCAAGTTAGGATCAGTGTTTACCCTGACTATCCTTTTCTGAAAGCATTTTGCTTTACACTAAAGTTTTCCTTGAACATTCGCATCCTCTGCAGCAAGGAATCTCAAATAGCTCTCTTGATCCCCACACAATTTATTTCATTTTTCTCTCTTGCCTGTAATATATTTTTCTGAGAAGAGGAAAGACCAGGTGAAGAATATGCTTCTCTTGGCTTTATGTCATTTCTTAAAGTTGATTTTAATATTTTTATGAAGATTGTGTCTAAGAGACTTGACAAAGCTGTAACTAAGCTTATTCATCCTGATCAAATGGTTTTCATACATAATTGTTATCTTACTAACAATACCCAGAGATTTACTTTGAAGTTATAAACTGGGCTAATACCTGTTCTCATCCATTACTAGTTTCATTTTTTGATGCCAAGAACAGAAGGTATTTGATGGGATGAAGTAGAAACATATGGTTGTCATCCTTCATCAAACAAAACTTGGCTTCATTAAGTGAATGGAAAACTTGTACACTCCACTTTTTTCCCTAGTTCAGAAAAATAATAATAATAATAATAATAAAAAAATACTTTCTTTCATATGAAGGTCCAAATCTCTAGCTCCATCTACCTAGTCCTTAGTTAAATTTCCACCTGTTTTATATAACACCATTATATAACCATTATTTTATAGAAACCATTCTTTTTGGCTAATGATACTGTAGCATTCCCAGGAAAGCAAAGGCCTCAAGTCCTGTCTCCTCTGAATTTCCAGAACAGTTTGTGTTAGCTCTACACTTTGGTAACACATATCTACTTGAAGAATAAGGTTTAATCATCATCATACTTCCTCAAATTAATACTTTGAATCCTTTGAATGGTACCAGTCAATGAAATATTTGGAATGAATATTCAGTGTTAAGTGTTATATGGGGCTGATGAAGGCAGATTGAATGAACCACAGTCAGTTTATCTCAACATGCTTTCCCAGTATCTATATATACCTTTGTAGCAGCATTAAAAATGGACCCACCTGAAGGACTAGGAAGAGCTGCCCTGCAGGGGGACACAGTGCAATGAGACAGAGTTTGTCCCAGTAGGACACCGTTTGCCCTGAGGGCAAGTGAAGCTGCTTTGGAGGTAGCCCTCTCGGAAGTGGGAGGGGTGATGTAACCCCAGCCTGGTTTGAATGAGAGAGGTTAACGACAGCCCGGGAAGAGTCCTGGCCTGAGATTGGCTGAGAGGCTTGGTTAAAAGAGGGGAGCAGTTTTCCTGAGGTGAGAATGAAGAAGAGAGGAGTGAGAGACAGGCTGGGGACCAGGGAAAGGATCTCCCTACAGTTGTCCCTCAGAGAGCCCCTGGCAGAGCCCTGCAGAAGTATCAGTGAGAGG